ATAAGACACGTAATACATTAAATGCTAAAATGTAAATGCTAACGAATATAGTAATACAAAAAAACTACCGAAAACCAAAGGAATAATATTATAAGTACTTAATTTATAATAAGTAGCATAGAAACAATTAAACTATTTAAATAAAATAAAGGTATTCTAATTTACCTTTTTCTTTAAAGCTTCTTTCGTACTATATGATATTGTTAGTTCGTTATATGCTCCTATTTTAATTATATTAATTTTAAAAATATTAGTGCTTAATTAGATTTATGATAGTAATTATTAAGTTATCAAAATAGCATTAGACCATTAATTATGCATATTCAAACTGAATACAGTTAGTGATCAATGTATATAGATACAAGCACAAAGTTAATATTTATTTAAATTATATTAGAAAATCATAAGTAATACTTTATTTAGTATGAATTATGATATACTAATTAAATTTTTTTATAAACTCCTTTATCAACCATATTAAAATTATCAGCGTTTTGAAATAGAACTTAATGATATTAAAATTATTTAAGTTTATAAAATTTCGAATAATAGTCGTAAAAGAGACACGGCCCATCTTGTATATGAATTATATTAAATTTTTAATTCTTTGATTCGATATATAATAAAAAATTTATTGTACAATGTAATTGGTATGAGATTATATTTGTTTAAATTCGATGTTATAATTAGGCATGCACACAATAATGGTATATAGTTTCATTGTTTTGTAATTATAATTGAAACTTATAGGTAAGACTTGTTTAATAATAATTATAAAATAAGAGTTTTTTATCGACATAGATTTCAACCATGTTAAATTCTTAATTCTTAGTCTAATTAGATATAAGACAATTAAACACTTATAAACTTTGATACAGCTCTTATGAGGTATATATATCCATAACTAAGTATATTAAAACATATTTATGTCACGACCCCGGTTCGCCCTCCGTGAACCATCGTGACGGCACCTAATCCCTACGACTAGGTAAGCCTAAAATGCGAAAAAATAAATCAATTTGCGGAAGAAAACAAGTAAAAACCAAAATAGTGGATAAAATAGTGTTTAATAGTGCCGCTCGGCATACACCATATCAACTTTCGAATACTAATATTTTTTCCAAAATCCGGAATCTCATGAAATCACAAGCTAAGAATAATACATAGTGCTCTATCTCCAGAGTGTCTAAATCAAAGTAAATACAAAAGGGGTGTAACTACAAGAGAGAATAGAGAGAGACTCTTCGGTCTGCGGACGGGGCAGATATACCTCGAAGTCTCCAAAAGATCGCCTCGCCTCAAGGATGGTAAGTCTGAGTAGAGGTACCTAGATCTGCACATGAAAAATATGCGCGGGAAGGGCATGAGTACACCACAGCGGTACTCTGTAAGTGTCAAGCCTAACCTCTGTCGGGTAGTGACGAGGAAGGTCAGGGCCCTACTGAGATTAAATATAATATAAAGTTCAACAGTGTAAAACAGAGCAGTATATAATGAGTGCAACAGTAAGAATAACACAGGATATAAAGGGTAACGGCAACCGAAACAGAAAACAAGTAATCACGATAAACAAATACAGTTCAACGCAGAGGTAACAGCCGGGGGATCTCTCAGGATACCGTCTTGTAGTCCCCAAATATAATATCTAGTGGATCTCCCGGATCGTTGTTCAACGCAGAGGTAACAGCTGGGGGATCTTTGTTATTTTGAAATTTAATTAATTATTTTAATTATATATATATATATATATATATATATCTTACTTATTTGTCTATGAAATTAATTTTTCATAACCGAATATTTCTAGGCCAAGTCTTGTCATGTCTTTCATGCTCGAAGCAAAAATATTCACCTTTAAAATTTTTTTTACCTAATTTATTATGGTTAAAATATTATTATTATAATGGTAACCTCAAATGTACGATAATATAATTATAGTCAACTATAAAAGTTTATTGATATTTTGAATCTGTTACTATTCATTTTTTTCTTGATAAAAAATTGTAACTATTAAGCCAACAATTTGGCATTTCTTTCTAACTTGAAGGAAAACTATCCATTAACTACAGGATTGTGTTTTAACTAATTTAACAGTAGTAAAATAATACTATTGTTACAATAAGTTTCAATTCGTGGTAAAACTTATAAATAGCTACGAAATTTTATCATAGTGATAAATCTGTGGTTTATATCATTTATGACAAATAATTGTTAAGACAAATATAGCTATAGTTATTTAGAACTTAAAACAAAATTATTNATTGAGATGCAACATTTTATTTTAAATAATTTATTGTGACTAAAAGTTAGTTTTTCTACAACAAGTTTTAGCATGTAGCAAAATCTAATGATTAGCTACGGAATTTTATCGTATCAAAAGATCTGTGGGTATATCATATCTTCATGACAAATAATCGTAGCTTTTGAATCAACTATTGCCACGATATTTTATAATTGGTAGCAAAAATATTTATTTTAGCTACAATAGTTTGTTTCAAAAAATTATTGTGGCTAAAAGATTATTGTTGCTACAATAACTTTTAATACGTGGCAAAAACTTATGATTAGCTACAAAATTATACCGTAGCAATAAATTTATAGCTATTTAAGTAATTGTTGCCACGATAATTAGCAACCATAGCAAAAATGAGGAATCAGCTTTGTCAATTTAATTTTTGTGGCTAAAAAATTTTACGAATTTGTAAAAAGCCACGCAACTCTAATTTTTGTGGTTATTGTTAGGTGCTAGCCACGAAATTTAGATTTGTAGCTGAGATTTCGTAGCTATAAATGCATTATGTTGTAGTGATGGAATTTGAAAGGTCAATCTTCCTCCCCAAAAATAGAAACTTCAGCAGTACATACTCAAGGGTTTTAAAAACTTCAGCTCTAGAGCTGAAGTTTGCCAGTTACAAACAAAAACTTCGCCAGTTACAAACAAAAACTCGCCAGTTACAAAAACAAAAACTTCAGCTCTAGAGTTGAACTTCAGGTCCAGCTACTAGAATGCTGAAGTTTTGCGTGATTGTCTTTGCTACTTCACCCCGTATGCTAAAGTTATGCGAAAAAGTGGGTACGCTTGCAATTTTTTTCGCAAAGTGGGCACAAGTTAAAACGTGACATAAAAAGCGGGTATAGATGCAAATCCCCCTATACCGTCTTGCATCCAATGTTGCTAATCACGCTTGAAAATATAGAAGGAGATCTTTGTGTGTGATTCTTGAGAAAAAGAACCTTATTTCTTTAGGTTTTCAATTTTTATATATATTTGGCTAGTTTTGATAAGTCTATGATTAATGGCTAGAGATTGGTAAGTTGAGTTTTTTGGGATCATTTCTGTAAGATTCCCCCTATATTTCTGCTTTATTTAAGAAGCCTTTTTCTTTTCCTCTTAGTAGCAGACTAAAGAGACCGGTAATATATGCTGTAAAAATTTATTGGAATATTAAAATATTTCAAAGAATAACTGTGTCTTCTCCTCTTCAAAATAAACAACTGGAAAATCTAACATAACTATGGTTACAAGTGAGCAAATGTATAACATTTGTAGAATTGAGCTATGTTGCGCGGACTATCCAAAATGTTGGCGCACCTGTATCGGATCCTCCAAAAATACACTACTTTTGGAGTATCCGACAGGCACCCGGCGACATTTTCGGAGAGTCCGAACAAGATAAGAATTGAGACAGTTCCTCTGATAGTAGTTTTTGACTTTCCTTACATCCAGCAATCGGAACTTTGCGTTGCTCTTTAGCGTTGTCTCGTACTTACAACCTCCCTTCTCCAATTCTGATGGAGAGATGGAAGAGTACCGATGGAATTTGTAGTTGTCCAACAAGTGACTTGCATGGAAATGCTTCCGGTTATAGTAAAGTTGTTCGCTTCACAGTTTATGCCTTTCATGCAGCAACAATATTGACATGACTCAGTTTTTACTTGCGTGCATAAATGTGTGTATGTTTCGATACTTATTATTATTTACCTCTGCATATCAACTCTGACGACAGGCGGTGCAGCAGCTGGGACGTCAGTTTTCAATGGAGGTCGTGCAACTGTTGGTTCTTTAAAGGCATGTGAAAGCTTTACCTTCAAATACTAATTCACTTTTCCTCAATAAGTTTCTATCATCATTATTCTGCCTTTATGCTACATTTTCCTTTTCTGAAAGCAGTGACTGCTATACTTGGTGGTGGGGACTACGTATCGGTGTAGTTTTTCAGGGTAAGAAGGTTAGAGATGATAACAAAACCTTATTGCATTTCTCATGATTACAAGCTTGATGCTCTGGGCTTTTCACTGGAGCCCAATCCCATTCAAGTTGTCGTTCTTCTGTCCAAGGTATTCTATTTATCGATCTCTGATGGGTATTAGGACCGTAGCCATTGTTATTATAGAGCTTCTTCTGTTACTTCAGTTTAACAGCAAGTTATATGCATGGCTAAATATATACCTGCGGTTATTTTGAAATTACAAGTCCATAATACTCTTGGTGGGTTGTTTCTATATTTTCTATCTTTACCAGTACTCCTACTTCTTTTGTGGAAATATAATGTGCAGGAGCTTTGTGTTCAATTTTTTTGAATTTTATTTTGGAAACTACGTCTTCTTAGAAACATGCTAGAATCAAAAGTAGTCTTAACGATTTTGCACTATATATATCACCAGGTGCCTATCTCCTGCTGGCATTCAGCAGGGGAGATCTGATGATCATACAGGAACAAGTTTGAATAATTTTGTTGAAAGTGATCGTGATTCTGCTCCATCGTCTCCTCATTGGAGAAAATTTCTGCAAATTCAAGAGCATTGGTTCCAGTTACTGCGGTAAATGCAGAAGCCCTGGTCGTAGTTCCATTACAGAAGCCCAAGCGATCTGAGGCCACACAGCGTCGAATCCGTAGACCTTTTTCTGTTGCGCAAGTGGAAGCACTTGTTCAACCTGTTGAGAAGCTTGGAATGTTTAGTATAACCATAATTAGTGCTGAAATGAGCTATGCTGTGTATGGGATTCTAGATTATTATTGACTTTTATTATAAATAAGGTATTTATTTCTTCACAAAATAGCACCAAGTGAGTGCTATGTATCTGTACAACGAGTTACAGCTCTTGGGATCTCAAAAAAAAAAAAAAAATCATCAATCTATCAAATTTCATTAACGTCATCACCCAAACTCCCCCAAGTGATAATGAAGTACAACGTGGGTCGGGCTGCAGACTTCTGATTTGTTTATTCAGTTTTTCAGTTATTGTTCTGTTGTTTGGCAGATGGCGTGATAACATAGAACTTATGTCGATTTGAAGGTATAACATTTGTCACTGTCTCTTGCTATTTAACATCGCACATCCACAGCCAATTGTTGTCTTGCCTGTCGGGATCTCTCTTCCAATTTCGACTTTTATGCTTTGCTTTCTTAATTAGCTAGTTCATTCTTGGCATGAATAATTTTACAATCTGAGGTGTCTTATCCATTTGTTGCTTCTTCAAGCAGCTAAGAAATCATTTGGTTTTTAAAGTGGCGTACTTGCATGCATCTTGTATGTAATTTCCTTTACATCTCCAATACTTTAACAAAATCTTCTGTGAATGACCTGGAAAGGAGAAAAAAAAAAAATAGTCATGAGCCATCCTCTTGAATCTTGATACACAGTAATCACATGGCATTGAGTTTAATTGACGGCTGTTATCAGGATAAATGGAAAACTCTGGTGTACACAGCAAGAATATCTCCTCAGCAGAGGGGCGAGCCCGTGCCGCAGGAGCTCTTGGACAGAGTCCTCACTGCCCACGCTTACTGGTCCCAACAGCAAGCCAAGCAACAGATGAAACAGCCATCGTAGACTTACCTTTGTAACTCGGCCCACCAAGACTTAAGTAGATCGGAAGAAATCATCTAACATTCTTTGTCTCTACTATGATTTGGACGCATGCTATCCCCCTTGGCGACGCTTTTCTTTGCAGACTCCCATTCATCAAATATGAATTATGCCAGTTATCTGCAAAATAGGAAGAGGAAAGATAAAAAGAACTAATATCAGCTAATATATAAATATATACAAGCAGCAGAAAATAATTCAAGATCAATCAAACTCATAAAATATACAGTTGATTTCATATATATCCAGAGAAGAGATTGAAAAATTATGAAATGGAAGTTGCTTAAAAAGAATCCAAAGGTACTGCAACAACTCCAACTATTATTTACTACATTAAGAGCTTTAAATAGTATGTCTTTGGGAAAGTTAACACATACAGATAAAAACAGAAAGGTATTACTACTACCTTCTTTCCTAGTTAAATCTGAAACGAGGTTGGTGTACCATTCACCAAAACACTTCGGCCACCATTGTTCAACGAATCTTATGAGCAACATGACAGGCATAAAATATCCATACCAACTAATACTCAAAGAACACAGTATCTAGCAACTACTTGAAAGGGTAGAAAGGTCTTGCAGCATGATGCAGAAACATATTTTGAATTCTTAGATGTGTAAGCCAACGATAAGAAGAATCCTAGCATCTATAGTTAAAGTAGATACCATTAGTATTTATTGCCCAAACCGTCATAGTTGGCATTTCATATTTTAGAAGCAAGCAAGGGTCGATCGATAAAATAAAGTCAACTACCTCAAAAAGCACTATGCTGTGAGATAAATTGAGCTGGAAAATAAGCTAAGTACTACATAAGGTCAAAATGTAAATCTGAGATGATCAGGACAACAAATTTGCTGGCTTGCAGCCAGTATTGACAAAACAAAGTATGAATTTTCCAATGTGAAATTCAAGAATTCAAGGTGAAAGCGGGAGTAGGGGAGAAGCTTAAGGGAGAGTTCTAGAATAACGATTCTTTAAAAAAGTAATCAGAGACATAAAACTACTTCACCTATGGGATAAAGAAAAAGTGGAAGAAAAAAAGATGAAACACTTTGCAGAACTAATTCCAAATTTGGTCCCAGTGTCAGCAAAAGGTATATATATACAGCAAAAACTTACTCACCAGGAAAATATCTGGCCTTTGCTTAAACCAACCTGAACATGAATGTCATTTATTGCAGTTCCCCGGGAATGAAACTTGTGCCATTGGAATCAAAACCCATAACCAAATTTTGGCCATGAAGATATTGTAGAAGCTTTAGAGAAATCCTTCAGCCATCAATTGAAGAAATAAAAAGTCGGATTCTATCGTCAAGTTACAAACTTCAAGAATTCAGGTCAGATTATAACCAACACAAGGTGGGAAGGATCCCCCAGATAATCTCACTGGCAATCCCTCTTGTTAGGGTCTAGTGTCAATACAAGGAATCCAATTGGAAAGGTCAACTATAATTTAGAATCAGAAATTTTAAGTTAACCTATATAATTAGCTCATGAAACTACCTGAACAAGAATTAAAGCCGCATTATTTCAGGTCTCAATCTTTAAATCCAAGATATTCTTGACTACCAGGATTACCTTTGGAATATCTACTAGTATTTCCGTGTATGCTACTTGAGTAATTAAAAGAGTTTCCCTCCCCAGAATCCAAGTCATCACTATTTGATTCGTCAGTATCCTCGAATTCAAATTCGCTTAAAGACTGGTTGTCATCAGAACACTTATCATCACTTTCTGACAACTCGAGATCCGAGGGATTAGTTTCGCTTGCTGAATAGTTCTCCTCTCCCATTTCAGCATTTCGTTTTTCTCTTACACTTCTTGAATCATCAAGGATGGAGTAAGCACTCCGATTATTTGGGTCACCGTATAGGGCAACATGTCTGTAGTAGAGTTCAAGTTCCTTCTCAGCAATGGCAATGAAACGTCTCACAGACTCAAGTGATTGCTCATACTTGGACTTTTCCAACGCCTGAAGAAAGAGAATTGACCAATAATTCTTACCATGCTTGATATTAAAATAGATAAAACAAAGATATAGGTAAATAAGTCAGAGTCAAACAGTATTAAAAGTCAAAATCTTATATCTTAAGTACAGTGAACTGATTCCCAAAGAAGGTAGCATTAATTTAAACATGTGAAGAACAAAGTATGGGACTAATAAACTTCTCTGACAAATACTTACCTTCAAAAAAAAAGTTTTGTGAGTTGACAGTGATGGCAAAAAAGGTAAGTATCCAAAGGCACATTTGCAGAATAAGACCGTTCACTATGTTTTGGTGAATATAAAGTAACAGATAACTAACTCCAAGTTCAGTAAAAGACATTTTAGGCATACATCCCTGAGAGAAACAGATGATGCAAAGCTCGCCACGTTTAATCTCAATTTCAAACTAAACAATCACCAATTGAAAAACATTGTGCAACCAAGTCTCACAGTTCCAATTATCACCAAACAAATTGCAAAAACCAAACCAATCTTTTTGTGTAAATTTCTGAGAAATGAAGTAGGAAAAAACGGTTGATGGAAAATGAGGAAATTGCAAACTGACACAGGGTATATATGGTGCAGTGAAGGGTCAGGTTCTTTTGTGATGTAGATTGTAGAGTGAATAACACAAGTCACAAAAGGATAGAAGAGTGGCTGTTGAGGTGTATTTCAGATGATCTACCCTGATATATCAACTCAACTGCATCTATAAGCCAGGTCAACAATAAGCTGCATTACATGGACTTGGCTACGGGTATGTACAGGATATGTGCATCTGGTACGGGTACATTCAGTTTTTGCTAATTTTTAGAGAAATTTGAAGAATCCGCACAAGTACCCACGCCCATGTCATACCTGCTTGGCATAGGTACATCAAGAGAAAATGAAGGATCCACGCAAAATAGACTATAAGTAGAAAAGTCAATCGATGGAGAATGACAGTGAACGTGCGGGAACGAGTAGATTTTCTTAATAGAAGGGCAATGCACAATGAGACTTGAGAAAGTAAACTTGTGCATAAGTACATGATGATAAGTAATTAATTGGTAACTGTAAACAATCAGCTCAAACAAACTTACCCTCTTCTTAGACAGTGTATCAATAGGAGACATAATTTTGGGCTGCACATAATCCCTTCCCCTGTAAAAAACTATTGTATCATCCCCAATTATTTGAATTGGGATGCCACCACTCAATCTTGCAATTTCATCGGCATATTCTTGGATTTGACCAGGTTTGGAGGAATTGCATATGACTTTGACAGTTTCATGCTTTTTCCAATGTAGATGCATATTGAGAATAACACCTCCAAAGACTCCCCTTCTGCCAATTGGCACATAATTAGACTTTTTCTGTGCCATCTTTTTGATATAGAATCGTTCCTCACCAGTGAGAAAATGCGGCTTAACCTCAGGACCTTGAACTTTGGGAACCTCATAACGCTTTAATCTCTCGATTAGCATGGCTTCTTTGACTTTTGCCTGACCAAGACAAAACATGTCAGCTTTTGTTAAAACCAATAGTTACAACGGGAAATGGAAATAAAACAAATATTAGCTTCTACAAACACAGACATAGGGTGACCACACCGAAATCTTCACATCCCTAAACCAGGAAACAGGTAAGATAGCTACAAAACCTAAATTAAGAAATGTCATCCGTCCCTCAGTGAGGCCGCAACCAAGCATACAAGCACTTGCTGTAACTTGGTTAGAGTAGATTGTAGGCTATACAAAAGTCAAAAGTAATTAGAAAGTGAACAGGCTCCTATCTTTCTCCAATCTCCAGAAAAATAACTTTACTAAATAAGTATTTCCAAACTGAAATAATAGCCAAAAGAGATCTTCTTTACAATTACTACCACGATTAAGCTACCAACAACACAGCCAACAAAAGAAGGAAAAAGACAAAGGCGGCTTCATAATGCTTCTCCGGTCTCACTCTAATTTCCGAGTACCAAATGAGAAGATGTAATATAAAAGATCATTCAAGAAATTTAACAATCACAAAACACATGAATAAGTTTTCTTTTTTTCATTTTCGACCAGCTTCCTTATCTTCCTTCCAACTTGCCCTTCTAATGTCTTTTCTTGTCAACCAAATTGAAGAAAATAGGTTACAACCCATTCCAAGATTCATATTAGATCATAACGCTACCCAAGTTCTTCAATGAAGTTCATTCTATATGCTATTGCGGATTATTAAGCCAATACCCCCTTAGTTTCAGTTTATTGTGACACCACTTCCCTTTTAATCCGTTTCAAAAAGAATGACCTCTTTCTAAATTTGAAAACAATTTAACTTAAACTTTCCATTTACCCTTAATGAGAAGCTTTTATAGCCACACAAACGTTATGGCATGTCTAAGACTACAAGTTTCAAATGTCTTATAATATTACACAAATGTTATATCATGTTTAAGACCACAAGTTTAAAAGCCTTCCTTTCATTTTTACTCTCTGCCTAGTCACATAAAATAAAATCGATGGGAGCATAAAGATACAATCATATGGGTCCAAATGGAGTGAAATGGTTATTCGTTTGGGATTGAGGCATAATTGTATTACTCCCTCAGTTCCACTTAGTTAGACACTATTTTCTTACTAATTCGTTCAAAAAATGACACATTTATATATTTCCTTAATGAGAAGCATTTCTAGCCCCACCAATGTTATGACATGAATTATATCACAAATTTTAAAGTATTGGTTTCTTTCTTAAACGTCGTGCCGAGTGACAAACAAAGTGGAACAGAGAGTAGTAGTGATAATAATCAATCAGTGGCTCCTAAAAGTTAAATTAGCAAAAAACATTAGCTTACATTGTCAATCTTCTGCTTAATTCTTTCTTCAGGAGTATCAAACTTCTGCTTCTTTTTCTTCCCCTTAACACCAAGCCTTCTTGGATCTCTCTTATTTGCAGCTTTTCTCTTCTTCTTATCTCTCTTCCTTTGTAGCTTCAGCCTCTTCTTTGTCTTCCATTTCTCCTTCTTTGGTGCCTCCACTTCATGTGTCTCAAACTTGGGCTTCCCATCTTTTGTTATCACAAAATTCACACTCCCATGGCTAAAGCCTCTAAATTCCCAAAATGGGTTTTTTGGGGTTAAGTTATTTTGAGACACTAGCCTTGATAAGTAAAAAAAGCTTTCTGGGGTCCCGAGATTTGGCCTAAATATGGAGAAAATAATCAGAAACAATAAAAAGATAAGAATTTTAAAGATAGGTTTTAGCTTTACCTGTAAGAAGCAGACGGCAGTGGCTTTTTGAGAAGTGAAAGAAAGGGAAGTCGTCGAAAGCCTCGAAGCACAAGATTTGCCATACGACGTCGTCAGTCGCCTTAACAGGGGGGCTGCCGGCGAGCTACTTCACGGCAGCGGGAACAAAATAAGTACAAAATAAAAGGAAAATTACGCGGAGACACAGAACTTAGCAAAAAATTAAACGGGTTGGATGTGATGATAATTTCTTTGGGGAAAATAAATAGATTTTCAAAATTCTTGTTTTTATTAAAGATACTTTAAAAAGATTTGGTAAGTTTTATCATATCTTTTTAATAAAACTTACCTCCATTAGTTCACCATGTTTAATATATTTATATATATATCTATATCTATATTAAAAGCACCAAAGTCCTTAGCGAAATATTGTTTGCTTTTTTTACCCTTTGAAATATAATTTCATATTAGACGAAATAGTTATTTAATATTTCCTAATATTTGAGAATAAATATTTAATTATTTTTCCTATATTTAGGAATAGATAATTAATTACTTCCCTAATATTTAGTATTTCTTTCCATTACTTTTATGTTTTGAAGTCCTTTTTTTCCTCATAGTTTACGCATTCCTTCTTGTTATTAAATTTTAACGAATTACTTTTTGTAAGATTTAAGNTGAACTTCGAAATTTCAAACTTTTACTTCCGATGTTTAAACCTATCAAATCACGTCCGAATGACCTCAAATTTTGCACACAAGTCATATTCGACATTACGGACCTACTGCAACTTCCGGAATCGGATTCCGACCCCGATATCAAAAAGTCCACTTCCGGTCAAACTTCTCAAAAACCTTCGAATTTCTATCTTTAGCCAAATGACTCCAAAATGACCTACGGACCTCCGAATTTTACTTCCGATCGCGCTCCCAACTCCAGCCCAAATACACAATTCTAATTTCAGTCATTAAAATAATTTTTATTATTGACTGATAATTAAGTATTTATGTTGGATAATTCTTTCATTATAGAGTTAATTATACACGACCAATATTCATCTTTTTCAGGAACTTATACTTTTATTTGATAACTCAAAGATAAATTTTAAAGAAGTTTTTACTCATTGAGATAGGGTACACGCGTCTTTGCGCGTACCCTTAGACTAGTTATATTAAAAGCATCAAGGCCCTTAGCGAAATATCGTTCGCCTTTTTTACCTTTTAAAACATAAAGTTCACATTGGACAATATAGTAATTTAAGTATTTCATTAATATTTAATAAAAATTGAACAACTTTGTAATGTTCACGATATTATCTGGTAAATTTTTGCCAGAATTATTTGTTATTAAATTTTGTTTTACTTATTTGTTATAATTTTTCTTCATGTTTCTTACAAAAGGAAAGTCCTAAACTTTCGCTTCCCTTTACTCCACAGTCCACTGTAAATGACTTCTTTTGTTTGCATTAATTATTTGGTTAAAATTTTCTTCACGTTTCTTACGCAAGGAAAGTAACAAAAACAATTTCCTACACTTTAGCTACTGGGTTCAATCTCATTAACTGACCGTATGTATATTTGACTTTGGTTAAATTCCCTACTCTTTGGAGTAGTAAATATTTGGTATTTTTTTTTTTTACACTAGAATAGTTAATAACTTTTTTCCTAATCTTTTACTACTTTGTTCAACTCTCAATAATGACTTTATTTGTCATACGAGGAAAGTAAATACGCACGTACGCTAGGAAATTTTGTAGTTAGATTTGTAAGCATATAAATTTTATTAAAATTAAATTTATAAAATAATTTGGACTATATTTTAAATTCAAGATATATTGGTCCAAATAAATATATGGGCTAATATAATTGAATTAATTATATAAGTCCAATATATATGTTTAAAATACTACGAGGGTGAAGTCGAGAAGACGGTAGTTGCTGATGATGAGCCATTCACCGAGGCTAAGTCACACTTCGCTGATGCAAAGTTCTACTTGAAGAACCGCATTGTGAAGGAGCTGAAAGCTGATGATGGCATGAAAAGCAAGAATAAAGAGCCCTCAACTAAAAGAGAAGAGGTCACTACTGGTGAAGCCAAAGCTGTTAGTAAGGAGGTACAACCCAACGCGAATAAATCTTATAGAGGGAATATTACGTCTTATGGCAAGAAAGTAAGTCTGGCGCTCCAATATGTCCCTAAAAGGAAGAAAGATGAAGGTGAATCATTTAATCGCCAAGCTAACATTCTAAAGGAGTTAACTCTTCCGGTCAAACGAATTGAGGCAGTAAAGTCGTCCTCAATGCCATTTGCAGGGTTTGTAGCCCAAAATCGTTTGCAGAATGTGGCACTCCCTACAAAGCGAACAGATGAAGGTTTTGACCCTAACGCTTACAAGCTATTTGCAAAAGCTGGATACAATCCCAATGAGCCGTCAAAGTTAGGGAAGCTCCCATCGGAAGCTGCAACGAGGCAACCACGTGAAGGTTTGGGATACAAGCAACCGTCACCAGTGCGCATTTCAATAAGAAGGGCGAGCAACAACTATATCACTGTAGAAGATGAATCAGCCGCTTCTAACAAGCCTTCTGTCTTTGATCGACTTGGAAGATCACTTGTGAGGACCTCCGTGTTTGAAAGATTGGGTCCACTAAAGAAGGGGAACAAGTTCCGGAGAAATTTTCAAAGCATAAGAACACCCGCTTCACCCAAAATCCAGGAGATCTCTAAGGATTTCCAAAGTTTGGTTCTTTCTAGAATGAGGCGACAAACAAAACTTGTGGTTTCATGTAAAGAAGTACTGAAGGTAAAGCCATATATTGTGGTCTATACTAAGGAACGTGATGAAGACGAAGAAAGTGTAGGTTCTTCGTATCATGTTACTGGACAAATCAAGAATGGCATTCCATCTTCGATGGAAGATAATGCGGAATTGGAGGATGTTTCCCTGTGTTATCACATATCTTCCAATGATGGGGACCCTCAAGAAGATGAAGATGCGAAAGATGCTCCACCTCAACTTGAAGAAGGAGTGAAGATGACAGTTGATGCCTTAAAAGAAGTTAACCTTGGCACCGATGAAGAACCAAGACCCACCTACCTAAGTGCTTTACTTGAAGCTGACGAAGAGAGCACTTATATTGAATTACTCAAAGAGTTCAGGGATGTATTTGCTTGGAGTTACAAAGAGATGCCTGGCTTGGACCCGAAAGTAGCAGTCCATCACCTTGCAGTCAAATATGGTGCTCGTCCTGTTAAACAAGCTCAAAGGCATTTTAGGCCGGACTTGGTTCCCTTGATTGAAATAGAAGTTAACAAACTCATCGAAGCTGGCTTTATTCGTACCCAACATGGGTTTCAAGTATTGTCCCTGTAAGGAAGAAAAATGGCCAGATTCGAGTGTGCGTTGACATTAGGGATCTTAACAATGCGTGTCCGAAAGATGAGTTCCCGCTTCCCATTCCAGAACTGATGATCGATGCTACTACTGGGTACGAGGCAATGTCATTTATGGGCGGTTCGTCGGGCTATAACCAAATACGCATGGCACCAAAAGATGAAGAGCTTACTGCATTCCGTACCCCAAAGGGTATTTATTGCTACAAGGTAATGCCTTTTGGCTTGAAGAACGTTGGTGCTACTTACCAAAGGGCTATGCAGAATATTTTCGACGATCTTCTCCACAAGAATGTCGAATGCTATGTTGATGACTTGGTGGTGAAATCAAGAGAGAAGGGCGACCACATGAAAGACTTGAGGATGGTATTTGAATTGCTCCGGAGGTACCAACTTAGGATGGATCCATTGAAATGTGCCTTTAGAGTTACTTCTGGAAAGTTCCTTGGTTTCATTGTCCGACATCGAGGGATCGAAATTGATCAAGCCAAAGTGGATGCCATTTTGAAAATGCCTGAGCCTCGAGATATCCATGAATTGAAAAGTCTGCAAGGAAAGCTAGCATACCTTAGAAGATTCATATCAAACCTGGCTGGAAGGTGCCAACCATTTAGTCGCCTCATGAAGAAAGGCGTTCCTTTCAAGTGGGACCAAGCTTGTAGCAATGCCTTCGAAAGTATCAAAATCTACTTGATGAAGCCTCCAGTTTTAGCAGCTCCTATACCTGGAAAGCCATTGATACTATACATTGCGGCGCAGGAAAGGTCTGTTGGAGCACTGTTGGCCCAAGAAAATAGTGAGGGGAAAGAAAACTCTCTTTACTACTTGAGCAGGATGATGACACCTAACAAGTTGAATTATTCGCCAATTGAAAAGTTGTGTTTGGCGCTATTATTCTCAATTCAAAAGTTGAAGCACTACTTTCAAGCTCATGTTGTCCGTCTTTCTAAAGCAAATCCCATCAAGTTCGTGATGTCAAAACCTGTTCTTAGTGATCGACTAGCGAGATGGTACCTCCAATTTCAACAATTCGAGATTTTGTACATTCCTCAAAAGGCTATAAAGGACAAGCATTGGCAGACTTCTAGGCAGATCATCCGATACCTGATGACTGGGAGCTAACTGATGAACTACCTGATGAGGACGCAATGGTCGTTGAAGTTCAACCTCCATGGAAGATGTACTTTGATGGTGCTGCACATCGTGGGGGAACCGGGGCTGGCGTAGTATTTGTCACTCCCCAAGGTGAAGTCTTGCCCTACTCCTTCCCTTGACACAACTCTGTTCCAACAATGTTGCTGAGTATCAAGCATTAATACTTGGGCTTGAAATGGCCGTTGATATGAAGCAATTGCAATTGCAAGTCTTTGGTGACTCCCAGTTAGTGGTCAATCAGCTTTTGGGTAGTTACAAGGTCAAGAAGCCTAAACTACGCCCATATCATGATTACGCTAAAAAGTTGATGGGGTGGCTCGATGATGTGACTATTCAGCATGTGCCAAGGAAACAAAATAAGAAGGCTGATGCTTTAGCTGCTCTAGCTTCATCATTAGCCCTGCCTGACCAAGCACAAGTTACCGTCTGCTAAAAATGGGTAGTACCGCCGCCAAATAAGGCTGAAGGTGAAGAAAATGAACTCAAGCATTTTGTTGATGTTTTCTAAGTTGGTAAAGAAGAATGGCGACAACCCATTATCGACTACTTATGCTATGGGATACTTCCAAAAAATCCGAGGAGAAGGACTGAAATCCGTCATCGTGCACCTCGCTTCCTTTACTACAAGGATACTCTATACAGAAGGTCGTTCGAGGGAGTACTCTTGCGATGCCTAGGAGAAGAAGAAGCTCTCCAAGC